GTTTGGCTAGAACACAGAGCTCATAAGGGGGAGTATTGTATAATCAGACTGGAAAGGTAGGTTGGAGCTAGATGTTGGGGAAGAGTTTTAAATGCCAAACAGAGTTTATATATTATCCCAGAGTCAATAGGTAGCCACCAAAGCTTCTTGAGGAGTGACAAGGGCAGATCTATGCTTCAGAAATATTAATTTACCAGCTGCATTGAGGATGATTTGGAGAGGTGAGAGGCTGGATGCAGGGACATTAATTATGAGGCAATTGCAATATTCCAGGCAAGAAGCGCTGAGGGCTGGAATTAGGGTGATGGCCATATGAGTATAGAGGGAGGACTGATGTGACACATGTTGTATTCTCTCCTATATAGTCTATAGTTTATCAAAGCTTATATCTTGTTTCCCCTTCTTTACTGTGAGATCCTCAACATCAAAGGCTGGAATTAGATTTGAAGGCTTTCTTTTGTCTCTCTCTCTCAGCCTATTTTAGGATGGGACATACACTGAAAATACCTGTTGGCCCAATGGCTTCCTTTTTCTTAGCAAGGTGAAAAAAAATCATTGTAGTACATCACTGATAGTAGGATATTGTGGGAGAATCTTCAGTTGATATGGCTTGATTTCACTGTTATTTGGATGGAAGGGAAGACATTTTCAAGAACACTCCCCAGCTTTTCAAAGGTCAAGATTCTTTCAAGCCAGAGATTCAGTACAACTCAAAAATCAACAGAATCAGTCCCCTGGCTTCACTCACTGTAGTTCTATAGGCCTTACCATTTACAAAGCACTTTTCTTTAGAATACCCATGCCTGAGGTAGAGATAGTGGAATAACAGTTTTGTATATGGATAGTGATTGTAAGGTTTACAAAATACTTTCCTTATAACCAAGTTAGAGAGCAACAAACATTACTATCCTCATTTTAAAACGCAGCATGGAATATTGGACTGAGTAAAGGCCTCCAGGCCAGGAAGACCTAGTTTCAAGTTCCTCATGTGACATATACTGTCTTTGTGACCTTAGGATAGCTATTTAATCGCTCAGGTCTCTAGACAGCTCTCTTAAGTTGTAGAGTAGGTGTAGACTTCATTGTTCTTACCTGAAAATTCTCTAAAGAAATCACAGGTGTAGGACCTATCCCTGTAGTCAAAGGAACAAAAATTCAGAGGTATGGTGACTTGGTCCCTCACGTTCTTACTGGACACTAAGCGATATTTAGGTCTTCAGTTTGAAGGCTCTTTCCATGAATCAATCAATGAGTCAACAAACAATTTTTTAGTACTTACTGGTCCCAGGCATTTTGCTGAGCCTCTATTTTCTCAGCTTCGATTCACTTCTTAATCCATTTCAATGAATGAATGAATGAATGAATGGAAGAAAAAAAATTATCAAGTACTTACTACGTGTCAGACACTGGCCATGCAAATATAAGCAAATGAGACAGAACTTGCCCTCAGAGAACTTACATTGTAAGGGAGTAAGACAACAATTGAGGGAAGCTGGAATTGGAAAGTGGGGGGAGGGAAGGGTATAAGCAGTGGTATGATTTGGAAATGGCCAAGAAATGTCATGATGAATTAGTTTCCAGGTCAAATAAGTGAAATTATGTCACTTATCTCATAGGTCTATCCAAGTGTGCCACTTGAGGGAAAATGTTCTTTCCAAAACCCACTACTGATTTATTTATAAATCCAATGGCTTTTTCTCAGTCCTCATAATGTCAACTAACTTCTCCTTCTACATGTGCTCTCCTCCCTGGGTTTTTGTGATCCTTCTCTCTGGCGGTTCTCTTCCATGGTTTGACTGCTCCTACTGAGTCTCCTTTGTCAGTCAAAAAACATTGATTAAGCACCTACTAAGTGCCAGGCACAGTGCTAAGCACAGAGGGTGAAAAGAAATGCAAAAGACAACTGTGGCCTTCGAGGTGTTCACAATCTAGTGAGGGGGAAACAACAAGCATACAAATATGTACAAACAACTACACGTATGATAAACAAGAAATAATGAGGCTCCTGATCTCTCTCCCATCTCCTAGGCCTAGGTATATCCCAGTGCATAGTAAGCAGTTAGTAAAAGCTTGTGGACTGACTTACTGATCTCCCACAGGCATATTAAACCCAAGAAGTCCAAAGCTGAATTGATTAACCTCCCTATACTTACCTTTCCTCCCGGGTTTCTCTGATGAGGTCACCATCATCCTTCTAGTTACTCAGTTTTTCAAAGGCCAAGCCTTTTCCAATACAGAAAAGCAGCACAACCAAACAGCTTCAAACCAGGTTTGAAACCCAGGAATCATTTTTTTAGAGATTCCCTTTCTCTTACTATCCCCCACCCCCACCCCACTATACCCAATCATTTACCAAGCTTTGTTTACTTTACCTCTGCCGTCTCTATCTTTCTCTCCAGCTTACCACAACTACTCTCTTTCAGGCCCTCACTGATATTCCTAAAACTTTGATTTGCTTAAGAAACTCCAGTGGCTAACCTATTTCCTCCAGGATAAAATACAAATTTCTTTGTTTGGCATTTAAATGCTTCACATCTGGCTACAGCCTAACTTTCCAGGATGATTTCACATGACTCGGTACCCTAAGTTCTAGGCCAACTGGCCAACTTGCTAGTTCCCTAGTGCGTGACCTTCTATCTTCTTTCTCTGTCTTTAACCTGACTATGTTTCGTACCTGGAAAGCTCTCCTTCCCCATTTCTGCATCCTTCAAAACTCACCTCAAGTGCTGCCTTCCACTTTTAAAAGACCTTTCCTCATTCCCCGAGTTGTTACTCTCCCCTTTCTCATCACTTTGTATCTATTTCATGTACCTTATTTTTACTTCTTTGTGGACAAGTTGTATCTCCCTAGTGGATTGTAAATTCCTTGAGGACAAGAAGTGTTTTACTCTTGTCTTTGTAGCCCCAGCCACCACCACACTGGCTGGAACATAGTAATCACTGAACAAATGTTTTTTAAATTGAACTTTTGTTTACTATGCACTATCCTCCAGGAGGGAGAAAAAATATCTTGCACTTGGGCCTTAAAGCCAGGAAAGAAGCAGGGGAGGCTTCTCACAAGGCTGGGAGAGAACACTGACAGGGAAGAGCAACTGACCTAGACTTGGCCCTCCTCTATTATCATAAATTAGGACTAGTGGATAGAGAGAGTAGTGGATTGAAAGCCCATTTGAGTCAGAAAGACCTTGGGTTCAAGTCCAGCCTGTGACATTTATTCTCCTTGTAACCCTGGGAAGTCGTTTGCTATCTGAGTACCCCAGGCACCCTTAAGTTAAAGAAGAGATCTGCATTTGTTGGAAGGAGATTTTTAATTGAGAGTTCCCAATACGGAAACAATATCAGGCCCTGACCCCTCCCCTACTTACCCTCACCCCATTCTACCCCCAAATATTCAGAAACAGTGTGTGCTGCAATTTTTAACTTAGGAGTCCTGATTAGAGGAAAGTTGGCTCCCTGGGAAGGTAAGGGTGTGATATAAGAAAATCCAGTCTACACAGCAGATCGCCAGAAAAGCCAGACTATGGCTACCTGTCCTGCAATTCACCTATAACCCAAAATGTCAAAGTTTTTTTTTCTTTTCCGTTCCCTTGACAACTTTCTCCAAACAAAAGTTCCCACAGACCATGGGTAGGGCACGATTCACCTTCGTGGGCCACACCACTGAAAAAAAAAAAAGAAAAAAACCCGAACCCTACCGAACTCAGCAAAATTAATGGGGGGAGGAAGAGGAGGCTGTGAATTCGATCTCGTCGGTCACTGCGGCCGGCCGCGTTAGTGACCAAGGCTCAGCCTCGGTCACACACAGCGCGAGCATTAACACTTTAATGGGCTAGCCAAGGGCTGCCCGGCGCCCCCCACGCTCCCCCAGCCCTCCCAGGGTCCCACTTAGGGATCTACAACAAGAGCAGAGAAACAAGGATCTCGCAAACGCCCACGGCCCTTCATATCTCTCCTACGACCTAAGGGCGGCGCTGTCCGCCACAACACGGCAGCACTATGCACTCCAGGCCGGTCGCTCGGCCCTTTCCGCCTGGGCGCTTTCGTATCTTTCCGGCCGCTCCCGAGTGCAGGTGGAGGGGGGCGGGGCGGGGGCCGTGCGTGGTGACGCTGCGGGGGGGTGGCGGTGGTGGTGACGCACCAGCGTGCCCCGCCCCCTCCCCCTCCCGTTCAGGCTCTGGAAAAGAGAAGAAAAAAAACTTTCTTTTTTTTTTTAATTGAGGAATCAACAGCCGCCATCTTGTCGCGGACCCGATCGGGGCTTCGAGCGCGATCCACTCGGCCCCGCCGGTTCCGGGCCCCACAACCGCCCGCGCACCCCACTCCGCCCGCCCGGCCCGCTCCGCCCGGCCCTCGGCGCCAGCTCCGGCGGCCCCGCACGGCTCTCGGCTCGGCTTCCCGGAGCCGCGGCGGCGGCGGCGGCGGCGGCGGAACGGGGGTGGGGGGGGCAGCAGCGGCGGCGGCGGCAGCGGCGGCGGCGGAGGAGGCTCCGCTTCGCGCATTGTTTTTCCTCAAGGCGGCGGCGGCGGCGGCGGCTCCGGCTCCTCAAACCGAGTAGGGGAGCGAACCCCGAAGCCCCCCTCCCACCGGGCGGGGAGAGAATTAATTAATTAAGTGGGGCGAGAAGGGGGGGAGGGAGGAGGACGAAGAGGAGGAGGAGGCAGGCGGGCGGGAGGCACCATGTTCCCCGGGACTGACTGAGCCGCCCCAGCCGAGCACCGTCGCTGCCAGCTGGGCCCCGGGGGGGCAGCTGGGCCGCCTTGGCCCCCCCCTCCTTGGAGTGTCGCGCTCGGGAGGGCGGGGGGGAGTCCCGGGCCGCCGCCGCGGCGGGGAGGGGATGAGGGAGCCGCGGCCGGTAGCAGTAGCAGCAGCAGCGGCGGCCGCGGCCGCGGCCGGGGGCGGGCGGTGAGCGCTGCGGGGCGCTGTTGCTGTGGCTGTGATTTCTCCACTGGCCCCCCCCCTCACTGGCCTCCCTCCCCCCTCCGACCCCCCCATCTCGCACTCACACACACTCGGACGCCACCCCCCCCCACCTCCCGCTCCCTCTCAGTGCCGGCCCGGCCGGGGCTGCTCTCCGAACCCTCCCCAACCCCCCGCTCCGGATTGTCTCCTGATTGCCCCGGACCCTTCGCGGACCCTTCGCAGCTCCTACCCCCATCCGCGGGGCTGTTTTCGAGAGCCGGCTAAAATGGCTGAGAACTTGCTGGACGGACCGCCCAATCCCAAACGAGCCAAACTCAACTCGCCTGGGTTCTCAGCCAGTGACAATACAGGTGAGGACAGGGGGCCTTTTTTTTCGGGAGGGGGGAGTTGGTTGTAATAAGGGGAGGGAGGAAGATGGTTGAAAATGTAGGGGGTTGGAGTGCCGGAGGGGAAGGGGAGAGAAGTGAATCTGATCGAAGCAAAGTGTCCTGGGAGTCCCAGAGGGTCGAGATGTAATGTAGGTTTCAGGGAACTGGGAGAAGGCCCAGCCCGCAGTGAGGGTAGTAGGCTTAGTGTCCGTGGACCCTGTTTTGAATTACCTGTCACTTTCCACGCCAAAGGTGAGTAGCCATTTCAGATCACAGATTAACGGGGGAGGGGGGCTTCTCCCTGGAAAGGCTTTGGGATCTTATCTAGATGAATGGGGCGTTAGCGATGGCCGAGGTGGTAGGCTTCCGAAGAGAAGGGAACCCTCTTATCTAGTTAGGCATTGCAAAGGGATTCCACGTAAAAGTGATCCCATCTCCCTACTAAACCTTCACTCACCCTCGTTCCATCCTTACCTTGATAACCTAAAAAATTCTTCCAAGTTTGAAGGAAGAGTTAAGTGATTGGAAGGCAGTGAAAAAGGTACTCCGATTCAGATTGATTTGCTAGGTATGCAGCCTTGCACGGGTCTCTCGAAGCTGAATGACTTTTCCAAGGAGGAAAAAAAAAGTAAGGTGCAGTGTGTTTATTTTGTGTGGTGGTATCAGATGAGTGTATCTGCTGCGGAGTGTGCAGTGTTGAAACGTGTGAGTGGCAGGACTGCATCTTGGTAAGGGAAGGAAATATCGAAGCTGAAAGATTGGTGACTAGAAATATTTTTTGAATCTGCAAGAGAGCAACAACATCAATTCATAGTTTTTGACTGATAGTAATACACTTTCAAGTAATGAAATCCAGAAACTTTTTATGTGATGCAGTCTATAATGATAAGTTGATCTTTAAAAATTCAAGCTTGTTTCTGGGGATATTAAGTTACTTTGGAAACTCTATACACTTAAATCTTTACACTCTCCTAAAACCAAAACTTTAATAGTAATATATCATAAAAGTTACTATGTATTTAATTTTATATTTCTAACAATTAAGGATAGTTTTAAATAAACCTATGCAAGTCAAGTGTCCAATTAGAAATTAAGCTTCACCTTTGACTGAACTTAATTTAGGTTATTTTAAAAACAAAGGGGTCATCTGTTTTTAAAATTTAAGAATTCTTAGAATTTACAGTAGAAAAATTCATTGTGATTCAGAATATCTCACTGTAAAATCATGTTTATTCATTAGAACAACTTCTTTGAAGGCTTCTTTAGGTATTAATATCAGCAGACTTTTTCACGTCACTAATTTTTGTTTTTTTTTTAATATGCTCATTACTTTATTCCCTATTACAGCTTTAAGAACTCTTCATATTTCCTCCTTTTGAAAATCTGTCTTTGTACAGTAAAAATTTGTCTTGTAGTTACCAGTTTAAGGACATTCTCAAATGAAACGTTTTCATCTGAGTAGTAACATCTGAAAATCACTTTATAATGAATGAATCTAAATTACTTATGTTGCTGCTGCAGTGCCTATAGATGTACACTCTGAAATGAAACAGTTTGTGAAAACACTTGTATCTGACTTAACCCAACAAAAAAAAACTGCATACTTTGCAACAGAAACTTTAGCTTGCCTTTGTTTTTAAATAGTGCACCATCCCCCAACCAGTTTTTTAAAATAGCATATAATATTTACTATTACTAATATTGAAAAATGATAAGTGCTCTTTTGCACAGGTTCTTGAACAGTTAAAGAAAAAACTTAAACCAGTGGGAGAAATGGCGCTAGTAAATAGCTAATAAAAATTTTTAGTTGATTGACTTGGAGTTTATTTTGGTACTAAATCTTTATTTCTTTTGTGTTTTTTCCCCCAAGAAATGTAAAAAATGTAATTTAATCATTTCTTTTCAGCAAAGCACAGCATAGGTGACTTTGAAATTGTTTTACGAACATTCTTAAGATAGAAACTTTTCCCCTTTTCCTTTTAATTTTGACATGTGAATATGAAGTCTTTAAGTGGAAAACAGAGGACCTCAACTTTAGAAATTTGTGCCCTCAAACTGAGTAACCTTAATGCAGATTGTTAATAGCAGATTTTTGCTTTGGTAGTTCTTTAGTTTGTTTTATGCTTTGATTGTATAAAGGGACATAGACTGGTTATACAGCTGCCACAAAGGGTTTTCCAGATATGAACACCCAACTATTTCCAGCTGCATACTGCTAATTCCAGCAAAAAGTTCCGTAGAAAAAGATTTGCTTTGTCAATTTTTCTTCCTTTTTATGGCCAACTCTAGGAACAGATGAGGGAGATTTTCTGGTTTCTGAGGATGAAAAAAAAATTCAAAACTCTTAATAATTATATTTGTTAATAAGTAATGCAGATAACCCAAATTTAATTCTACAGACAAACTTCATTCTCATCCTTAGTTTAAAGCTTAATCAACTTCATTAATATTATTTGTGTGGTATCCTTTGTAAGGTATTATTACAAAGCAACTTAAACAGACACAGCCTTGCTGTCTAGTAGCTAATAATTTGAGACAGGTCGTAATGATATGGATAAAGATGTTAGGATATATATTAAACAGATAAACAACTATTTACTACATGAAATACAGCAGCAAAAGGATGAATGTATTTCCTGAGATAGGGAAGTGAAGTAAGACCTAGAGAGTATGGAATTGGAGAAAACCAATTACTATTCTTACAATTGGAGAAAGCTTCTAGTAGAAGTCCCGGGGAGAAATTGGGGGTAACTTGGAGTTAGGATTGTTTAATAAGCTTTATGTGTAGTTTGAGAGATTGATTGAACATTTGGATTAGGGAGAATATTGAGTAAATTGAGTCTGTAAAGAATCTGAAAGCATGGGGATCAAGAGGACTATGACTGGAAAGATCACTAAGCTTGGAGTCAAAAGACCTGAATTAGAGTTCAGACTGTAATTCTTATATTTACTAGTTATGTGAGAGTGGTCATATCACTTCACTTCTGAGGCCTGTGAGATTTTGCAGGTTGATTCCTGCTCTGATTCTGAGAGTATAAGGAAACAAGCTAGTCTGGAGAACTTTTACAGTGACTGAATGTAGGAGTATGATCTTGGCCCTCTCCTACTGTCAGTTTAGTTTTAATACCTCTCTTAATGTAGACTCAAATCTAACATTTGAGTAGCATGCTAGCATCAACTAGCATTTATTAAAGGTCTACTACAGGTAAAGCATTGCACCAGATTCTATAGATACAAAGAAGCTTAAGATATTCTTCCAGCAAGCAGCTCACTTTGTTTACAAGCTTGGATGGGAGGATATAGAAAGGTAACACTAGGAGACAATATGTGGTTCGGGCCAAATGAAAATTGTGCCCATTTATTTAAAAAAAGATAAATATTTATAATATGCAGGTATTTTTTTATAGGTAGGTGATTAAAAAAAAAGTTTAGATCCAATTATCCTTACTGTTACAGAACTTATAGTCTAGGAAGGGGTAAAACATACACAGTATTATCCAAGTGCTTTAGAAAGTTATAAAACAAAGTGCTATCTTATAGGCAGTACTATAGGAGAGTTTTTTTGGGTGGGGAGAGAAGAGGGAGTAGAGCATCCTGGTCATCCACCTGTTATCCCTGCTCTAGCCCCATAATCAGGGAGTTGGTAATGAAGGCTTCCTGGAGGAAGTAGGACTGGAACTAAGTTTTGAAGGTAGAAGTTCTAATTAATCATGAAGTGACAAAAGGAGGGGGAGCTGCAGGAAATCCGTGAAGCTTCCAAATTACATGTTGAAGAACTGCTTAGAGCTTTAAGGAGGTAGCATGGTACAGTGGTGCTGGATTTGATATCAGAGGACCTGGATTTGTATCCTGGTTCTGACATTTACTACCTGTGGGACTTTGGGCAAGTTATTTAATTCATGAACCTTAGTTTACTCATCTATAAAGTGAAATTGTTGGATAAGATGGCCTTAAATTCAGCTCTGAATTTGTGATATTGTGATCTATAAGTTTTGTAGTATATTTTGTCAGGATTCACATTTTCATTCTCCATAAACTTTGGTCCACTGTTAAAGGAGTATGGAACTTATTTAGATCAACTTATATAACATACTGTTGTGAAAAGCAGCATATTTAATCTCTTTTCAGAAGTAGATATTGGGGGAAGAGGTCTAAGAAAAAAGAATTGAAGGGGCAGCTAGGTGGCCCAGTGGATAGCATTCTGGCCTTGGAGTCAGAGTTCAAATCTGGCCTTAGACACTTGACACTTACTAGCTGTGTGACCCTGGGCAAGTCACTTAACCCCAATTGCCTAAAAAAAAAAAAGATTGATATGGTAGTAGTAGACTATTTTAAATAGTGTTTCTCCTTGTTCCAAAGTGCCACACAAGAGTATTTTACTTTTTGCCATAGATTTGTTTCTGTTAAATTGTGTGTAAATAGAATTTTTATATACTAATTTGACAGGTGGAGGGAGGGCATTTCCAAAAAGGGAAGAACATGGTGTGAAGGGAAACACATGGAGGTTTGAGGGTGCATGGCAAGTTTGAGGAGCAGAGAGGGGGCATATTTAACTAGATTAGAGGTTCTTAACCTTTAATGTGTAGAGTTCTTCTTTGGTAGTCTGATGAAGCCTATAGACTCCTCACAATAATACTTTTAAATGCGTAAATTAAAATACATAGGGTTGCAAAGGAAGGCAATAGGAAATAGTTAACAAAATGTATTAAAAGAAAAAAACACAAAAGATTTTCGCTCACCCCAGATTAAGAATTCTTAGACTGGACAATGTAGGTGGATGGTAATAACGTGAGTCAAATGCGGAAAATTAGAGTAGAGTCGGATCTTAAGGAAGGCCTTGAATGACAGGTAACGAAATTGGACGTATATGTAGTGAACAGTAGGGAGCCATGGAAGATTTGATTTGGTAGATTGGCCATTTTATTTTTTCTGAATAGTTCAGAGTATTGAAGGGGCAGGCAGCTCCAGTTGTAGAATAGGTC